AGGGATATCACAGTCATATCAACAAGAACACTGATAGGGGAGCTCGCTACTTGTCGACTGTTTATAACGTCGATAAGTTGCGAGTACTCACTCGTCTTCATGCTTGGAGTACAATTTCGGAATAATGAACTTGTATACTCGGGGGCGAAATTGTCTATGAGATACTACCTATTAGTGAATACCAATTAGTCTACCGATTAGCGCCATAACATTTGTATTGGTTGTGGTGTTATATTTTTTTACTTTTGTATTATGCCTTTTCTTTCCCTTGAGATGCTCAATTTGATTTTTGTTATTGTCTATGCAATTCCAAGTTAAATACCTTGAAAAATGTTTTTTTTTTATTGTTAAAAAAACAAGCCATGCAATAGTTTATCATTCTCATGTATACACTAGATATTGACTATCAAGAGATTTGAATTATAAATTTTATATCTAATTAGCTTTTACATTTTATTCAAATAAAATCTTAAACTTGTAGATCTTGTGTACAGTAATTAATGCTGTAAAAATAAATTTACTGTGTATTGCTAAATATTATTGTTATTTTGTTTGAAGATATGAAAGTATGTAAGAATGCATAAAAACTCAGTTTCAATTAAAAGTATGATGCATTCGAGCAAATTTTAACTACAGTGATGAATATGTTTTCAAATTCTGAAGTTTATTTTGTATAATGAAATGTTTTTAAGTGGTATTAAAATCAACTTCACGATCACAAGTAATGGTGATTACTTTGTTTTCACTTGTAAATTTTTTTTTATTGTCTATGCGATTCCAAGTCCACCTTGAAAAATGTTTTTTATTGTTAAAAAAAACAAGCCATGCAATAGTTTATCATTATCATGTATACACTAGTACACTTAAACTTGTAAATCTTTTGTACAGTTTTTAATGTTCTAAAAATAAATTTACTGTGTATTGCTAAATATTAGCAAAAATAGTTTTATCTCATCAAGTATTTAAATACCAAGTTTTAGGAGTACTGTAAAGTAGGAGTAAAATTAGGTTACAAATGAAAGATATTTCCGTTTTTTCTATAGAAAAATGAATAAGTTATTTTTTCAACATATAGCTTAAAGACGTTTTTCATATATTTTCGCATAAGTTTGAAATATTAGTTGAAATAAATGTTTTGTTTCTAATATTGAATCTATGAAATCTCATTCCCTTTCTCCCAAATCTTACCATCTACAAATACAAAAAAAAAAACTTATTTCTTTTTGTAATACCTATACTTTTCTTGTTCAACTTTAATCTTTTAAAATAAACACTTGTGACATTACTTCAATGCATTAAGTTAATTTTTTGGCCTTTAAATAGGTTTTTCATTTAACAAAAATGTTTGAAACTCATAATTCCTATCATTCTCTCACTCATAGCGATTCAAAATGTTTTTGATCATAACATTATAATTTGGGTCGACTCATTGAACTGGTTTTAGGAGCATGTTGTGATAAAACTGAAAAATAAATTTCATTAAATTAGGATAAATTCTTCAGTACTTTAAAAAAAAAGGAAGGAAAAAAAAACTGAATAAGCTAGTTAGTTAAGTGTTAAGATGAAACTTTCATTTACATTGTTTTCTAATGACACTTTCATTAAGTTAATTTATTTTCTAAATATCTATATTAATAAGTGTTTTCATTTCCTCTAATGGGATAGTTAAAGAATATATAATTTTTTATTTATGGGTATAGAGCTTAGAAGCAACTAATGCTTATTTTCTCATTCCTTCTATCATTCCCTCATTTAGAGAGAATAACACTTTTGTAATTTATGAAGTTATGGTGTTCTAATAAGTTTCTAATTTTCTGTCATGAAATAGTTTATGTATATATAAATTGTTATATTAATCTATGGGTATTTCTATTTATGGGTATTAACTTTAAAACTAAATAGTGATATTTTTTCTCCTATAAACATTATCTCACTGCAAGAAAATGACTTTTTTTTGGGTTATATTCTAAGATTTTTAAAGACTAATTTAAAAAAATTATTATTATTTTTTGCTTATTATTTTTTAGAACAGTTAAGGACTGAAATAAAATATATTCTTTAAAAATATTGTTTTAAACATATTTATAACTAAAATTATTATTCCATCACCATGTTATTATTCATTCTCTTTAATGAAAACTTATAATAGTTATAATATTTTTTTTTAAATATTAATTATATTTTTAATATTTTTGTATATAATAATTTTATTTATTAATGTATTTTGTAAATATTTTTTAAATATTAATGAAATTTTAATTATTTTTATTAAATATTAATTATATTTTATGAACGCCATGTTTGTCTAGAACCTTCTCCCATATCTTTTTACAAAAAGTTAGAAATTTCTAACTCACTTTTTTTTATCATTTTATAGAAATAACCTATTTGTAGAGAATGACCCATATTGACAAATAACTCAAAATTACAAAACTTAAGTTTATTTGTTTGACACAGAATTTTAAATGAAACATATTTTAATACTTTTTTCATTATTTTGTAAAAATGTAAGTAAATATTACATTTAGCATTTAAATAATTAATGGTTATGAATTACTGCATGAAACACCGGTGTCTTTTTCTGCATTAAAGGTAAAATCTTCCAAACATGACTTAGAGGTTGGGCCGCACCAAAGAGCAGGGCACATCGACCAAGGTCTATTGTACCCAAACTCTAAATCATGATTAACAAGAAAGCCTTATAGCTGAAATGAAGTTCAGGAACGTCTTGCAATTCCAAGGCCTTAATGCAATGTTGCCTTAAATGCTCAAATCTTTAAGCAGAATAGACCTCACAATCACAAAAAAGAATCACATGAAGTATCTTCTTCAGGAAGGTCAACCTCGACAAAGAGAATTAGATTCAATACCCATTATGTAGGGTACAGTGTCCATGGAGAAGACCAAAGACCTTCCTCTAACTGTTCCTGTTTAGCTGAAGGGGCTCTTTTTGGCATACACTAGGACAGTCACGATTCATCTCTTTAGCTTGTCTCTGACCATCCGAGTTGTGCCATTGCGTATGGACAATTTTGCCATAGAGCTTTAATACAGAAGCCCTGAATGACGTGGGAGAAATACCCAAGGCTTGTTCAGGGCCCCAGAAAATCGCACTAGAGCCAGCCCATGCTGCTTCATTGGCCAGCTTATTTCCAATAATGCCCATTTGTCCAGGTATCGAATATAGGTATGCCTTGTTATGAGCAGAGAGATCACGGAGGACTGAGAAGCACTCCCACACTAGTGAAATTGCACCTTGATGATCATAGAAGAGCAGCCTGACTGTCAGAACGGATGTTGATAGGCATATTTTGATATCCCCTGTCTAAGCTATCTTGCAACACAGGATAATTCCATAGACCTCAGCCTGAAAAACAGTGGCATAACTACCTAAAGGAAAGTGAAGTTTGATACCATCATTGGAGCCATAAATTCCTGCCCCTGATTGAAGATCAACCATCAGTGTACCATGTTAGACATTAGTAGTATAGGCGGCACTACAGCGTACAGCGGGGGGTCCCTATTCCTGACGTCATCACGGAAAGTCAAGGGGTGCTTATTTCTGCNTCGAGAGCAGCTGTGGCAGTGGTACTGAGACAGCTTAACAGGGCTGTGCAGACCATTCTTTGTAGTCTGTTAAGACTAGACCACCGGACTATTGCGTCAACACGGTTTACAACAATTATTCATTAGTATTGAAATTTCTTTAATTTACAAAATTAATTATTGAATGAAAAAAAAGTTTCAAGCTACTTTTTTTTAATTTATATTTCAGTACAATTATAATTCTGATAATATAACAACAGATTTTTTTTCGAAAATATTAGATTGTTTATCATATTTAAGGAATACTGAGATATATTTTTGCTTGCAATTAGAGAGCCTGAATATATATATGTATATATATAAAGCGACACAAGTGTCCATTCTGAGTGAGTCAAGGAGTTAATTTAAGTTAAAGTGAGTGAGTGATAGTCCAAAAAAGAAATAATACAAATAAAATTATTTGCTAGTTTCGTTTTATTTAGCTGAATAATTTACAATAATTTATACATTTCAATTCAACAACGTAAGTATATTTACATCAATAACTTGTTGATACTGACTAGAATTAAATTGAAGTACAATTGAATTGCGAAGTATTCACAATTAAAAATATTACATTCATGAATATTGCAAAATAACAAGTCTTTTTTTAAAACTCTTTGAAGAAATTTATGTGCTGCTTAAATTATTATATTTACAATTGTTTTAACTGTTGTAAAAATGTTTTACATCCTAAAAATCCAATAGCTCCTATAATTTGAAATACGGAACGTAGATAGAATTATATTGTGGTGGTTGTGGAAGTATAGACACGAACATTTGTTTAAATGATAATGTTTTTCTTTAAAGTACTGATTTTTTTCTTCTTCTGTAAACCAAGAATCAATTGAATTTCAGTGTAATGAACAAGAACGTTATGCTCTCAACCAGTTTTTCCCAATTTTTTTTCAGCCTTGAAACTTTAAACGATCAACCTTCTTTTGTTGGAACCCTGACTTTTGAAAAACGTTCATTAGTAGGTGTAAATAAGCAAAAGGAAAAAGAATTCAAATTAGTTCAGAAACATTTAAAGTGAAAGGAATTCTTTCATCAAGTTTCAAAATTAGGTTTTATGTTATACAGTTAAACTGCAAGTCAGCAAAGGCTATGTGAATTAAATTTTTCATTGTTTCATCAAGTCTCAAAATTGGTTTTATGTTATGCAGTTGAATCGAAATTCCGCAGAGGCTATGTGTTTTCTTGCATAAGTCTAGTAGCTTTGCTGTTTAAGAAATGCTGATTTAAAAAAAAAACTTATGAATTGTGAGGAAGGTTATCAAAGAAAAATAATTCTTTATTCTAAATTTAATTTAATTTTATTTAAATATTAATTTAAAAAAAATTTTGTTTTCTTTTAGTATCGTTTAGTAATTTATTCAATGTATAGTTATTGGAAAAAAAATTTAGTTTTTTAATTTTTCTATTTTATTGCAATTTTATGTAAATATTTTCATAAAAATAACCTTAATATTAAATAAATATTGGATTAGTGATTAGATACAAACATATTACAGGTTTCAAAAAATCATTACCGGTTAAAAAAAAAAATTCCCAACTCACAGAACACCATTTGGGAACTGCTGCACTTACGCAGTGATATTTAGAGGCATTTATTATCAAGAGTCTGGAAAAGAAAATTAAGAAATTTGATTATGTATGAAGTCCAAAAATGTATTAACTGCTATTCATAAGAGAAGTAATCTCTTTATAATAAATCTTGGCGAAGAATAAAGAATCACTAGAAGAAGAAATAAAGCTATCTGAATCGAACTGAACTACAAATTCATTGTATTGTGCGTTCTAGTGAATGCAATAAGTTCGAAACTGTATATTCTTTCAACACTTGAACATGTCGCACAGAAGTTTTTCCATTGATGTATTTCCAATGGTTCGATGAAAAAACATACTTTCGATGCGCTCTGATGGCACGTAGCGTAGAGATGGTAGCATCAATAGCAGACGACCAAATCTGTAAAATGAATGTTTTATTAAGTATGAATCACAATGAAATGAGCTGAACAGAGTGGATATTAAATTTCATGAGGTGTTTATAAAGCCTGGTAACATATTATGTACTGGACGAAACAGAAAAAAAATTATGTTTTTTCAGCAAAAAAAAAATGTGGCTTCAAATGCCACATAAGGAAGGGGAAGTAAAAAACATCAAAACCTGTTTGATTGTCGAAGGACACGGAGAAGAGTTTAAAGAAGATTATTCGAAACTCCTCAAAGTTTCATATGGTATTTTTTTATAACCCTCGACTCAATTTTGAGTTTACGATAACCAGTGTTTAACGCTGTAGCCTTATAATTTTGAATCTAAAGCAGAAGACAAGGGAACTCCTGGATCAAGTATTGGGAGAAATTTGTCATCATAGAGAACTTTTTGATTAAACTAACCCACATTTGCTTTACATGAAGAGGCAACCTGTTAATCTGACGGCAAGGGGACTCTAACACATGATCCGTCTACCTCTTAGGATATTTTACATCAGCACTGTGGTCGGGGTGAGCCACCGCTGGTATTCAAACATGAGTCATCTCATTAGGAGGTTAGCGCTCTGTCATCTGAGAAACCACGTCTCTTTATTTGGCATTTTATTTTATAACAGTCGTTGGAACAAACGTCTCAATTTTCAGTTTACTCTACCATTGTTCAACTCTGTTGCGTCATAATTTTGAACCCAATCCAGAAGACATGGGAACTCCTAGATCAAGTATTGGGAGAAATTTGCCTTTGAGGAGAAATTTTTGATAGAACTAACCCACATTTACGTTAGATGGAGAGGAAAACCTCTCAAACGTCCCTCATCTAACCTAACGCCAAGGGGATTCTTACCCATTATCCCTCCATCACTTAGGATGTTTGACGTCAGCATTGTGGTTGGTGCGAGCCGGGAACAGAATTTGTATCAACCAGCCACCGCTGGAATTCGAACCTGGGGCACCTCATTGGGAGGCAAGTGCTCTATTCCTTGGCCCACCATGCCTCTTAATTTGGCATTTGATGTTTTGCATACTGTTATCATTAATTGTTAGATTTTAAAAGTTTTTTTTTCTTAGCTTGAATTCCGATTTCGGGTCCTAGTTTTAACAATATGTGTAATTTTTATACTTCATTTTCACGAGGCTTTTAAAAATATACATTTAAGGCTGTGATTATGAGTCACCCTGTTTATGATGAGGGCATCGTTTAATGTACATTAAATTTTCTTATATGTGATGTCAGCAAGTTAATCTTTAAAAAAAATAGTCTCAAAAATGATTTTAAAAATATGCAAAATTGTTATTATTTACCGAAATGGATGAGTTGGATGTTGAGTCTTTACATGTTGCTGTAGCATCAGCTGGGCTTGATCTTGTAAACCCTCCACTTGGTGGGCATCCTTTAAACCCCGAGCGTCTAAAAACAACATTAATATTTATGTACAATTTTATAATAAGAACTTTATGAAATTTTAATATAAAATAGTGTCTGGGCTCAGAGTTGTCCTAAAATGTCTAAAGCACCTAGATTTTAACTTTTGCCTTAATGTTCATAAAATTTGGACATTTCTCATAAAATCAATAATTAATTATGAATAAAATACATAATAAAACTAAAATATAAATTCTACTGACGCTGAACAATACTTTCAGGTCTGGATAAAGTGCAAGTAAATATTTTACCCTCAAATAATTTTGGATGCTTCTCGGGTATTAATCAAAATTTAATTTTGTGTTTGGATTTCTTATGATGTTAAGTTAACTGAAATGAATACCATTTTATCAAAATCTATGGTATTTAAATGATATAAAAATGTACTAAATCCTTCTTGAAAGTCCTAAAATTTTGTTAAGTGAAGTTTCAGAATTTCTTTTTCTAGCCCTGAAAATGATTTACACTGTGGGGAGCAATTTTATTTTCTAATGCTGAGATCTTTCAATATATCTTAGATACTTTTGTTTGCCTGTTTTTAAATGTGCAGTCTGTTTCTCTTTCCAAACTACATTTTTTTTAAATGACATTTGTAGTCTATTTTTTGCCGACATGTACAAGTTTAAAAATAGACTACAAATGTCATTTTAAAAAAATCAACAGTTTTAGGCGCAAAACTAATTTCAGAATTGAAAACCCCACACCCGAATTAGGCCAGACAGTACATATTTGTGTAAATGCAACAAAAAATTAGTTCTGCAGTTGTATCTACAAATAGATAACCATACCAAATGTTTAGTTTTGTTAATGGTTTAAGTTGAAGAATACTGCACAGATATTGTAACACTTTTTTTTTAAAGAAAAGGTATGAAGCTTTTGCTTTATTTTTTTTTCTTAAAGAAAACTTACCAGCTTTAAAGAGAGCAATAGCTTTGAGGCATGCGAATTCGGCAGGGTCCACCCCCACAGATTTGAACCTGGCCAATGCTTCCTGCAATGTCCGTACGTCAGCTAAAGTCAGAGCTGCTTTACCGTTGGGAAGTCCAGCATTTAAATGCTCTGTTGGTGTGAAAAGATTACTGGATTCCATAGGCATGCACCATTGAATTGCACATAGCAGAAACAATTCTGCCCACGATTCTTCCAACAGGATGACCTAAAAATAAAGTATCTATTGACTAAATTTAAAAGAAAAACCAGCATTGATTTAAATGAACCTTATGAAATGAAATGAATTAAGAAGAAGAAAAAAAACAAAGTAAAACAAAAGAAATTTTTTTTAAAGTGAAATAAAGTAAGTTTTTACCTCATAAGAGAACTGAAAGGAATACCACAACAGGAGAATCCGAAAAAACAGAAAATAATATCCTTAAGATCAAAAAGGAAAAGCACTAAAAAGAATTAAAGTAGAAGCATTACCATGCAGTCAGTGCGGGAGCAGTTTCTGCGGTTGTTGGTAAATTACCACTGTGTCCTCCCTAACGAAGCTGCCATGTATGTCAGTGCCACTACTTTAATGTCGTTTTAGTGTTTTTTCTTTCTTATCTTTATTATATATTTCCTGTTACAAACTTTTCGACTTCTGTATTCCCCAGGTATTACTTATGTATTTCATTTACTGTTATTATTTTTCTGTTTTCTTCTGTCGTGGTAATCCCTTCAGTTCTCTTATGAGATAATAACTTATTTTGTTTTATTTCAGTTTAAAATTTTTTCTTCAAATATTCTTCCAATTGTGACATCAGCAGCGTGGCGCTGTCACAACTTGAAATTATGTATTTTATACTTTTTCTCATCAACTTTCATTAGCGTCGCATTTGTATCTTACCTGATCTCTGAATGGTAGATTTGCAAACGAAGGTAGATTTTTGGCCCATTTCACAGCCATAAAAAGCAGCCTTGCTGACGTCTCATATATTGTTTCTTGGCCAGGTGGTGGACAACTAAAAACAGGACCCACATCTTGCGGACTTACTCCGGAATAGTTGACCGCTGGTCCGCTGTGCCCAACCATTGTAATCCCTTGCCTTTGTTCCATCATCTCTTCTCTGGTCATATCTGCCATGTGTCCATCAAGGGCTGAAAATAATAAGTTATTTAGTCTTCCTTCCTAAAACTTCCGAATTCTGCAATTAGCATATTAAAGATAAGTATCGATTTATGTTGAACCAAATAAATGCGATTTGAGTGAATTTGAGAAATTCAACTTGAGATTGTTAATACACCGGGGAGACTCTTGCGAAAAATATTTTTCGTGTTAAAAACCGTTTTATTTATAGATTTAGCAAAATAAATATTGAAAGCAAGCGAGCTCTTTGCCCTTTCTCAATATATTTTTAGTTGGATACGTGATTCTCATATTATGAGTTCGCTAGTTACAGCTAAGAGATTCGATTTACAAAAGGGTTAATTTTTATAATAAGTTTTTTTTTTTTTTTGTATCAATCAGTTTCTTGCCTATAAATTGTTTATTTCACTCATTTTCCTTTTAAAAAAATTCGGAATTGTTTTTCAGTCAATGAATTATAGTTTATAATAATAAACTTTTCAGAATTTTGTGTTTTTATAAATTATAACATGCTGTTGTCGCTTTAAAAAGTAAAGGAAAATGGATTAATTTAAATAAAATTTTTAATAAAGAATAAAATTTTTACATTACAAGATTGACTTAATTTGTTTTCTAAAAGTGAATAAAGATTTGCAAAATTAATTATAGATGAACGAAAAAATACTGGAAATTGCAGTTTGTTGCTTTCTGTTCGAGAAGTCTTTAATTATCATTTTCAAGTTTAGGTACAAGGGTCCTCGATAGATGGTGCTGCACACTGGAAAAATGTTTTCTCTTGAATTTTAGATCATTCTAACTGCAATAAATGCGTGAGCTTGTTTTAATTTTGTCCCCTGTCTGAGTCCCATTATTGCTGCAAATATTAGTTACCTTAAAAAACAATTCTGCAATTATCAGCGCCATCTCTTGACAAACTTTGTAACCAATTTTAAATAACTTGATTAAGAGAAAATATCAAACTTCTTGGTGAAAACAGCAGCAAACCGAACACATCTCTCTCTCTTTTCATTTTACCTTTATTAGTTTTTGAAATCGCAGGTAATTTTCAAAACATTCGGTATCTATTACCATATATTTGTCACAAATTTGTTCATGCTTACATTTAATCTTAACGTTTTCCTATCAGTTTGTAAACAGGATTCTTATTCCGTTATTCTTGAATTGATTTTTCAAATAATCGGTTATTTTTGGGATACTCAGTTCAAGTACCTACATGAGATTATACCCGAAAAGAAAATATTTGTCTCAAAGTATGAAGGTTTGTACTCGCAGGGACAGTCAATTTCAATTAGACCTCTAGCACTGCTGCAGTTTTTAATGACTTGGTCTAAAATTTAAAAGCCCTTAGTTTAGCAGGTCTACGGACGAGGGTGCCAAATTTAATCAATTTCGGAAATGGAGCGGAAGAATAACTTGCTCAGTTGAAAAATACTACTTTTTTTTAAATTAGAAATATGGCAAAAATTAAGTAGTTAATTTATTTGTTGAACAGTTTAAAAAAAGTGAATTAAAAAGTCTGAATTCAGTTATTTTACAATTAATGGCTAATAATAAAAGATTTCCACAATCGCGTTTGCAAATGTTTCAATCCTTAAAGCATGTTAGTAATAACATTTTATCTGTCTTATGATAATAGTAACTCATGATGAGGAAGATTAAGACGTTATTGTCCATTTTTTTTTTCGATTACATTTTTAAATTATTTCTTTTACAAGCGCAATTTTATAAATCTTAGAATCATTTTTTAAACTATTTCAACACGTTTGAAAAATAATAATTCAATCATTGTTAAAATATTAATTAATTTTAAAAATACACTGAAATTGCAAGGAAAATGACCCATCTCACCCTGTGTGAGCGAGGACGGATGTGACATGACTGTATATGACACAACTGTAAAACTATAGTTTTATAACTGAAGTCTGGTGTTATCTTTCAAACCATATTCTTGTAGATGATTTATATTTTTCACTATGCATTGTTAATTATTTGCCAATCATTTAAAACTAAGTTGTATTTCTATTTAACTTCCTAAAACCCAGCGTCCAATATAGTGAACATTATTCGGTATAATTTAATCGCTTAAAAAGTAACATCTTATGTTTTTTTTCTGTTTGTATGCCTTTACAAAGTGATCGTTTGCCGTGGTAGTCCTGTGGTTAGAGAATTGAACTCCGGTCCGCAGGCACGGGTTCGATCCTCCGACTCCACTAAAACCCACCGACTACATGCGATATACGCGCTCACAAAATTTGTGGAATCGGAAGTCCTGTAGTTGGTCGCTGAGCAGTACAAGGATATGGAGAAAATTCCCTCCCTCTTCAGATCCATGTCCAAATTGAAAAAGTGGCCTCATGAGTAAGTGATGCTGCCATCTATCCGTGGGGTTCTGAACGAAAGGAGCACATTCCGGATTAATTCGCAAGGTTAATTGCTGACGAACTGGATTTTTCCAAGTGTCATTAGAGACAACAACAAGCGATTGTTTATGTAAAAATAAAATTTCTTTTACTCAAGTAGGTCTGAATTTTTAATTACAAAGAAAATTGTTACCAACGGTAAGAAATTTGATTCAAGCAAACTTGTGCAAAATTTTATGGCAAATAAATACAATAGTACCTTCCAATAAAAGACTCCCGGGACTAGACGTTTTTTCCCTTATTCTTTACGTAATTTAATTCAAAATTTAGATTAATATTTTACAGTTAACTTTCTTATGTATAACTGCTCACCACAAATAGTCATACAAATAACGTTAGCCTATGCTTAAATATGTCTGACCAACTATTTGATTTTTTGACTTGTAGCCTCCGGTTCGCCGAAACTTCTTTTGTCTTTTCCTGCATTAATGTCTTGTTCTAACAGAACTATTAAATACTACAAATCAATATTTCTGTTTTTTAAGAATGGTATTTAATTAGTAATCCATATTTTTTTTTATTCCTTTTCTATCGTTTGGCCCATTTCTTGCTTATTTTTTATTTATTCCGAATTTCTTTCTTAAATCTCTTAAATTAAGTTTTCCAATTTCTATTAGATTATTTGCGTCAACTTTTTCTTGTAATATTATTATTTTTCTATTTAAAACAATGATACATTGCATGTAAAACTGACACCATGCATATAACTACACTAATCCATCCATCATCACAGCTGAAACAAGAACTGAAAATGGTAAAATAAAAATTTTCTATACACTTTGGAATGTTCCTTTGAATTAACAACTCATCATTATCAAAGGATAGTCCAGTGATTTATCTCATTGACTCCTGTTACCATCAATGGATGGTGATTTCTATAGCAATGGGAGCTGTACTTTTTCCCTCAGCTAAACTTCCGGGATATTATATCCGGTCTACTCTATAGCAATTTGGCTATGCTATGAACGCAATAATACCACAAACCAGGAATAAACATTTTATCGAAATCAAGTATCCAAATTAGCTATTTCTTTGAAAATTCGGTAATCATGTCTCTTTTATTTAAAAAAAATAAAAGTCTGATTTATCTTAAATGATATTACTTCAATATTTACCATGATCAAATAATAGAATAAATGCTTTATGAAGCGTAAAAAAATTCAGTTTTTATTCCTGTTTCCTTACATGTTTTTTTTAAAAACAAAATCAAATGTTCAAAAATATAACCCCGACGGATTATCAACAATAAGCTAGTATTGAGATTAGGGACATTTTTTCGTTCTATTTCCGGGCGTTTGTTTATGTCTATTTCTGTACTGAAATCATCCACACCATCAAAACAGCTCTTGGGCCGTAATGCCCTTCCATGATTAATAAAAAATTTCTGAAAGCGAAATTCCTTTTGATTGTTCCTCAGCTTACTGTTTTTTCCTAATGTACTATTCTCCTCTTCTGTACTCTAGAGCAACCGGTATCAAAAGAAAGAGATAAACATGTTAATCAAGTATATTTAAATTTTTATTTTGTATTTCTCCATCTCCATATTATTTTCTGAAACATTTTTTAGCAGAGAATATCCCTTAAATAGAGAGTACCTTATCAAGTGGTAAAGGCTCCGGTACAAGCGGATCAGGTTCATTATAATTCTCCTTTAAACAGATAGCGTACCTTATTTGGAAATGTCCCTTATTAGAGGTACTTCTTTATCTTATTAAGAATCTAATGGATTTATTTCCTAGCGAAAATGTTAGGAAATAAACTGTAAAAAAAATCTACAATATGTAAAAAAAGGCCAAAAATCAAAAGTTATTATTTTTAATGTAATAATCAAAAAAATTAAAAAATAATATTTTGATTGAAATATAAAACTAAAAAAAACTTTTTTAGAGCATTTATGAGTTTAGTTTCTTTTAAACTACATATTTTTAGGTAAAAATCACATTTTCTGCCATTATTTGAAGCTCAATGGAAGAAATGAAATAATAAACATTGAAGCATTTAATGGACTGTCTAATAACTTCCTTATCATTTTAGTGAAAACATTTATTCTGAAAAGCGTCTAGTTTTTATAATAAATTTAACTGTCGATTTTCGAAAAAAAAATTTTAATCGCATTTTGAGTTTAGTTTCTTTTAAGCTATATATTTTTAAGTAAAATTCACATTTTCTGTCATAATTTATAGCTTGGATCCCAATGGAATAAATTAAAAAATAAGCATTGAAACATTTATTAATGGTTGTCTAATCCCTTCCTTAACATCTTAGTGAAAACATTTACTCTGAAAAACATCAGTTTTTTTTTTCTATATTGTAATTATCTGACGATTTGAAAAAAAAATTATCGCATTTATGAGTTTAGTTTCTTGTAAGGTTTATATATTTTTTAAAAAAATTAAAATAATTTTTCTGTCATTATTTAAATCTTGGGTCTCAAAAGAATAAATTAAAAAATAAATATCGAAGTTTTAATGGGCTGTCTAATTCCTTTCTTAATATGTCAGGGAAAAAATTTATTCTGAAAAACATCTAGTTTTTATATTGAAATTAACTGTTGATTTTTAAAAACAATTTCGCATTAAGTTAAGTTTCTT